CGTGGTAGTCAATCGTGAACATTTGTTGAGTACGTATTTCATTAGAAAAATTGGTATCCGCCTGCGGGATTCGAACACCGGTGCATCGCTTCATACGAATGCACCGGAAGTCTTATCCTTTAGGCCACGACGACTTCTAAAAACTTCTCTTCTTTGCTCGAACAAAACTTTAAAGGGAAATAGGTTTTGTAATAATTTACACAATTCATTGGTCTTGGAAAGATCAAGGCCAAACTTCAATGCAGTTGATAACAGATGAGTGATAGAGACATGTGTATCCAGTCTTGTCCAGTTAAAAAAAGATAAATATTGATAATGCAATAATATATTATAGTATTTGCAAAGAAAAAACCAACCATTTCAAAACTACCTTAAAAATGTTTTCTAATTTTATCTTCAACCATCAGAGAATATTACCATGAAACTCAAATACATTAATTTTAGTAGTTTATAATAAAAGTAGTTGGTATAAGGAGCCACTAATGATGTTGCGAAACAGCTACCCTTTTAGATCGAGAAATCGGTGGAGGAAAATCTCCTCTTTTGAAGTCGGCTAAAAAGCGTGATTTTCGTACCTTAAATAGCTTCTTAACATTCTATTATTCAAAAACATTTTCACCTTCTATGTAAATGAAGTCACGGGTAAAATTTAGCGTTATCCCAAAGTAGCTGTTCCACGCGGACGAAGTCGCGGGAATAATCAAATTTATATATAATAGAACTTTTTAAGTAAATTAGCTATTTTTGCAACTTATTGACTATAAAAAACTACTGCATTAAAAAACAGACATTTTCAAGAAACCGAATCGGCACTGTCATGGCCTAAACTAAAGGATCATGCCTGGTACATTCGTATTGAGCGATACGATTGTGCCGGTGCTTATTCCCAAAAATTATAATTCGCATAATTACGGATGCTCTTGCGGCCTCTTATGAGCCTGAAAGAGTAGGTACCACCACTACCATGCTTATATTTTCCATGAAGTAGCAAAAGTTTCAGTATGAAGGATGAGCTATCCATGGTACTATGGTACTGTAATGTGGCGTGTGTGTGTGTATGTGACTGGTCTGGCAGTCTGGTTAACACCAACAGCGGGAACTCCCCTACTCCGACTGAGTGCTGACCCGGGGTGGAGATCGGACATCGGTTGTCTAGAGTGCAGAGGAGTCGTTTGATGCGGTGGGTCCCTAAAAATATACTTGCGCCCGCATCTACAGATTCTCAAGTCCCACATACACCGCGCGCCCCCTAGGTGTGGGGACCTCGTAAGAGGTTCGGATAATGGCGCGAGAAAAAAAATGTGTATGGGCTAACATTGAGCGTGACAGTCACCGATATGTTTAAATAGGATAAGGTTAACCACTAGGTTAATTATTAAATTAAGTCATTTAAATTTTTAGGTATTTTTAGGTATCTAAACAGATTAAAGTCGAATTTAAATTTGACATTACAGTCGTGGGTTGCGTTCAAGGCAATCGAATACAGTTCAAGAAGCATATTATATTATAATATTTTCGTGCAGATGACGGGTTGCGGTCAGGGCGGTCGCACAGTGAGCGTATTGGTTCGCGGATCGAGTGGCGCCGTGGTGGCAGAGGCAGCGCGATCTCTTCACGACGCCTTATGTGCCGTGCGCTGTGTGGCGCGCCGCCCTGCATTGTTGGCCGGCGGCGGCGCTCCCGAGGCTGCAGCGGCGGCCAGTCTCGCGCGTGCTTCTCTCGCAGCACCCGGAGCCGATCACTATTGTCTACGTGCCTACGCCGATGCTCTCGAAGTCATACCCTCCACGCTTGCCGAGAATGCAGGTACCAAGAACAATTACACTCATCAATACCCTACTTGATCAAGAATAATATTTTAAAGTGATTCATGTAGTCAAAAATTGACCGTACCAAAAGAACCACCAAGTTTGATAAAATGTTAACCTGCATGTTTATAGTGTAGTATAATGTTACCTGCGCCTTTTTGTGTATTAAAAATTACCATATTTATCCATATAATATAATTACTGTGTGAAAAAAGATAAAATGTGAAGTAATGTTTACTGAAATTGAAACAATAAAACTAATAACTTAATAATATAGCTCATCAAATACAGTAAACCCAAAATGAATTTAAACCAATCATATTATATACCGACCACTTAGTATATGAACATATTAAAATGGGTTTGTTGTTGCAAAATACCCTTTTATATAGTACAAGTCTACATTATTATCATTGAAATATTAGAAAAAAAGGGTGCGTGTACTTATGTACGCGCGTAAGAAGTTATACTTTATTTTTATTATTATTATTATTTTCTTATTGAAATTTTAATCAATTTGAAAAAAAAACAATAAACAACATCCCCAAACACGCATTGGACATCCCTTTTCTTAACATCGTATAAATTCGGTAATTCTCAGTACGGTCCTCGGAAAGTTCACCTGCGGCTATATTCAGACTCGCCAAGTTACGTCGGTCGTATTGTAATGAGCAATTTAGTGGGCAACTTCATTTCTGTTAATTTTGTGTCACGGTGCGCGCGCATCGTAAAATTTCACTCATAAATTTTTCATAACACGCCTAAAAAAGTATAACTTCAACAAGAATCAAGTCTTATTGAATAAAAAGAATGTGATGAAATAATGATTTTGTTTTAGGTTTGAACCCAATTGAGACCGTAACTGAGCTACGAGCCGCTCACGCTGCTGGCGCGGGCGGTGGCGCCGGTGTCAACGTACGCCGCGGACGAGTTACAGATATGCGCACGGAGCATGTGCTGCAACCGCTTCATGTTACAGCTTCCGCGCTCGCACTCGCAACCGAAACTGTGCGTGCTATACTCAAAATTGACGACATTGTGAGTATACTACTATAGTAGAGTTTAATGAATATAGACTGCTAAACAACTGTTTGGGCTTTGTGAGACTATATACTTTAGTCCACGAACATTTAAAAACTCTTCATCGAAAACGGTGTCGCCATCCACCTTTAAAGAGTTGTCATTCACTCATGTCCAGTTGGTGGTAGCAAAATATAAAGTTTGACGAGATGTCCTATTGCCTATTATTATTGGGATTGGTGGAAAAAGTAGAGGAAGTTACATAGGAACGTAATATGAAGATAAATTGCTAATGGGTGATGGGGAAGAAGCAGTAGGAACTTCAGAGAGAGGAATATTATTATTCTCATCAATTATAATTATTGTGTAACCACCTGCTCTTAAGATTCAATGAAAATTCAAGTTCCCATTAAAGTACTAAAAAATTGATGGATATTTTCAAATCACCAGAAGTGTTGTTTAAATATATTTTATTGAAGTATAATATACATTACTAAGAAATATTTATTTCACCAAACTTAATTTCTTAATGCTTTAATATTACAGATAAATACAATGAATTAGCCAAAAAGGTGAAGACGAGGAAATGTATTTTAACAAAGTATTAATCTTTGCTAATCCACAACATAATAATTTTAACTTAGCTTGATATTTAAGTAGGAAGTAACACAACAATCTGCCACCAATAAAATGAAGCATGAGAAGATATTTCTAAGATATTCAGCAAGATACGATGTGATCAACCAATATTGGCGACGCATAAACGTCCAGCAGGGTGTCATCTATCGAAAAGCACGTATTTATCGCATAGTAGGTGAATAAATCCATCTTACTCATCTACTGAGTGGGAAATATTAGTTTGTCTAATCATGTAGTTAGGAACGTCGTAGGCGATTGGCTACCGGTAATCCACAAAGATGTCCTTTTCTGGGCAACTGTGCTTCTATTATTGGATAAATAGTATTATTTCGCATTTTCAAATAGCAAGTAAACAATAAAATTTTAAACCCTTTTCAATTGATTATTTACATTAAGTATGATGCAGTTTGTTTCAAATTTCTTTCTTTAGTTCTTTACTTATAATTCACATGTACATGCTACATAATTTATTAGGCCATTAATAAATACTTAAAAATAAAATTCTGAAAATCAATGGTTTTTTTATTTCTTTATTATCTTTTTAAGTTCTAAATGTAAGAAAAAAATAAAATTTAATCAGTGATGTCAGACTACTCGAAGTGCATGACACAAGGAGTATGTTTCTAATATTATAGCCCTTGAAAGAAGTATTTATATATTGTCGATCACGTTAAAAATAACTTGCTGGACACTTCTACTCAAATAGGAAGCTGCAACGTGATCCGTTATTACATATATCTCCGGGCTTTAATCTCTAACAATAGCAGATGCATTAACGAAATTAAAAGGCTGGTGGCTGTCGGGAGATCGGCAATGGACGAGCTGTGGTAAGTGCGGAGAAATAGAATCATAAAAGAACACAAACATTAGGTGTTGAATACTAATCTTCTCCATACTTTTATAACCTGCTTAAGATGTGGGCTGTGCGAGAGGTGCAAATCAAATCAAATCAAAAAAGTTTTATTCAACATAAATGAAAGTACATACTTGTTGAACGTCAAAAGAACTACCGCCAATTCACAAGAATTAGCCTCCGTCCTGAGAAGAATTGGCAAGAAACTCATCGGGCATGTCTTTTTTTTTTTTTTTTTTTTTTAATATTAGATTTTTTTTTAAATATTCATTTTTACAATAAGTAATTATAACATAACATTTTTACAATATTGAAATGCCCGGAGCGAGCAACTCATTCCCACTTTGTGCAATCTTCTAGGAAGAATTTCGATGCTCTGGAGATTTGGTGCTAGAGAAAACATTTGGGAGTTCATGGACCGAGTTTCGTACAAACATCTCGATACTTCAAGGACAAGGGTTCAAGCAGAATTCGAATGGTGGGTTTTTTCGAACACGTTTCGCGGCGTGATAACCGGTCCATAGAATGCTTCATCGTGCTGGGAACCATGAACAATACAAGACCGCGCGGGAGGTCGCTATTGCGGTGGACTAAATCAAAGCTGCTGTGAGAATTCCTCTAAATGAATGCAGCAGCAGGATAGACGATCTTGACCACTCTGTCAAGAGTGAAACAGTTCAGAAGAAATTAAGTATTTTTATTTACATTATCTTTGGTAAGGATGTATTTGATTAGCAGCTTTGATATTGGTTTTGATAGCTGAAGGTGCCTTAGGAAGAGTAGAGGGCGCAGGACCGAGTTGTGGAGCCGGGCCTCGAGCTGGTCCCATTCCAGCTGCCCCTTGACCAACCATATTCGCCATACCTGGTCGTAGCCCTTTTCCCGTTCCTACTGCCGTTACTAAAGCATGCGTGTCAGCAATGTTGTGTGTTGGTTGCATACCTTAAAAAATCCACAAAACATATAACATATACAGTAAAACTTCAAATAATTATACCTATAGAAAAAACTGTAACTATATTAAAATTTGAGACCTTAGAACTTATATCTCAAGGTGGGTGGCGCATTTACGTTGTGGATGTCTATGGGCTCCAGTAACCACTTGACACTAGGTGGGCTGTGAGCTCATCCAGCCATCTAAACAATAAAAAAAAAAACTTCCTTAAACTGAAAAATAAAACATAAAATATATATATGTGGGATCGTTCATAAGTAAAAGTGGGATGAATATAGCGAAATTCTTTATTTTACTTCACAATCACTTCGTACACGTCTTTCTCAAAACTATTCCATTTATGAACTACCCCCTCTAACCTTAAACTACTATCTCTTTGTGTATCTAATAGAATGTTGCCATTGCAACGGGCACAAAATAAATATTAAGAAAAACAAACTGAAAAAACGTAATAAAAATAAAACTCCCCACATATATTAAAACATAAACATCCAGTTAACTGTCTCTAGCTGTTCTACTATGGTGTGATTCAGTTCTCCTAAGTCAGTACACATTTTTCAATGAAAAAACTTATCATCATACTTATTTATTTATTTTATTTATTTATACTTATTGTACACAAAAAGAAAATACAATAAAAACAGATTTAAAGAATGTCTAAATACTATGCACAAAGGCGAGCTTAACTCATTCATGAGTTTTCTTCCAGCAAACCATTAGCAGAGAGAAATACAATGTATAAGAGGGGAATAGTGTACAATATAAAATCTATTAAAGCATGATTTTTAAACTAAGCTTTAAAAAAAAAACTAAAATAAAATGAAAAATACATATAAATAAACATACATAAAACAATAACTTAAATACAATTAAAGTGACAGGAAATGTTTCTTCATTTGACTCTTAAAAACTTCTAGAGAGGAACTAGCACGAATAGGTTGAGGGAGAGAATTCCATAATCGCACTGCTTGTATTGTGAAATTGCATTATCATCATACTTGTTTAAGTGGTGGGCAAAATCTTGGGCATCTCTGGTGGGCATCTTTCATCTTTGTCAAAGTAAAGTCATACCTACCTTATATGAAGAACTAATAACTTAGGATATGTGTACAATGGTCAGAATCATCCCACCTGTCTTTTCTGTAGATATTCACCAATGACTGGGGTCTAGAACTGTCTGAGTAGCTGAGTGTATCCTGAGTCACTGACGTGTATAAGTATTTTTGTTATGAAGAAAACAGGCATGCCAGTTTTATAAGATGCCTGCCTGCCATACAACTGAGACTTCGGGCATGTGTTTTGGGTCAGGTGAAATAAGATAAGCATGCGTGTCTAAATTTTATTCAAGACAAATTGTTTTTCACTACAGTGACCCGCATCTTTTTTCAACCTCTAGAAGTTAAAAATCGACTACATAATGTGAATGAAATGTTTATTAAAATCTGTCAACTGTTTAGGTAATTAGGATAATTTTCTATTGTAACTTTTACTAACCTGTAGATCTCATTGACTCTCCTTCCCAGTCTTCGCGGCCTTTGGATATAATTTCCCAAACGTGACTGACAACTTTAGTGAATTGAGCAATGTGTTTCTGGAATATAAAACTATTATAATCCATACATCATCCATCTATATAATTGTAGGTAACAACTACACAACATTACATGAGAAAGTGAGCTTGTTATAATTGCATGTCTTAAGTACTCAACTTGATTATCACGCTAATTTTGCAGACAAATCTTGATTATATAAAAGAACTTATTATACATAGTTTAATAGAATTCAATGATGATATGATTGCAATGATACTGAATGATGACCATGACCACCCTGACAAGTGATATGACAAAAAAAAGAAAGAATTGATACATACTTCAACCAAATATCTCAAAGCCAGAGGTTGATTTAACTTTGTGATATCTATGGGTCCCAGCCACTATATTTCAAGTGAGCTGTGGGTTTATTCACTCAACAGTGCATTACATGTTTTAACCCCAAATATATCTATTTTTTTACCGTTTACAATGAAAACTAATTTAGATTGCGAAGTCTACAAAGAATGTCATAAAAAATTAGCCCAAATAGTTATAATGGATATTTTTCCTTGTGGTACATTCAACCTTATGCTTCTTTAAATGTTTCTGATATTTAAAATTAAATGTTAATTATTGTCTATACCTGTGCTGTATCATAGCTTAAAGTACTAGCTTTATGATTAAATTGCTGGAGACGCTGTTCAGCCTGGGGTTCAGGTTTGGTACGAAGTAAATCTGGAACTAAATCATGAGTGCAAGCTGGAACTCTGCCTTCTGTCAAATGAGCCAGTGTTTCATCACGTTCGCAACTTAATTGAAGTGGTAAAACAATTCTAGACCGCAATGAAGCTGCTTGTTCGGCTTGGAGAATTTTACTGAGGCCAGTCAGCTGAAAATAAAGAGTTAATAAAATTTAACTAAATAACACATGATCTTTAAAGTGAAAAGCTTATGTACAAATGCACTTAAATCTGAAAACAAGTCTCAAAATGGGATAATACCTAATAAATATCAGTGACCACGCTAACCAGGTTACATCAAATGAGTTTTGAACTCGTCAGTTTTTGTTTCACTGTTTTTTCAATAATATATTAATTATCTTTCCTACTTCAAGTTGAAATCCATCTCTGTAGACTTGTTGACTATTACACACACTATTTATGCTATGAATTTCAATATACAATTGGACTTACGTGACCTGATAAAATCGCGTAATTATCTAGAAAAGTTGGCCAATTTATTGTCTCGTATTCCGTTTCTAGTTTATTTATCAATGCTTGTATTGCAGTTTTTAAATCATTTACTCTATTTAAAATCGCAACTATTGTAGCTTCTAGTTGCTTTTCTTCTCGCTGCTGCATATTCATTGTTGTAAATGGTAGGTACACAATTGTAACTTTTTAATTCTCTTTGTTAGATTTTAATAAGGTTTAGGTACCGTACCTTACCTAGCTATTAAATAACCGTAAGGGACTAAGGGTACTTAAGTAATATATCTCAAAATGGTACCGTACGGTACCGTACATATTCTAACTTTCTAAGTGATAAATATTTAGCTCTTTGATTCAAACTTCAAAGGTTTTTTTTTTTATTTGAGATTTTATGATCTGGTAACTAAGATATTTAGGTCATGTCTTATTTTAATTTATATTCTTATTTTTAATAAAAATGATAATATGGAGTGAAATGAAATGAAGATGATTAATTTGAGACATTAATCAACTGGGATGAAATTAAATGAAATGAGATGAGACGATATGGGATGAAATATAATCTCAGTAAAATGGTAATCATTTACTGAGATTTTTTCAGTGGACTTTTTGGAGGATCCCGAGAAGTTGCGTCCAGCAGTTTTGTTTCATTTTCCTACATTTGTGCACTTTCACAGATGTTAAATAGTTAGTAAACCACCACTATTACACATTTGAACCTTTATTTTATTTCATATAATTTCATCCCAGTTGATTAATGTCTCAAATTAATCATCTTCGTTTCATTTCATTTCACTCCATATTAACATTTTTCATAAAAATATGAATGTTTTGTGGCGTTTATGAACACACATTTTTATGATGCGTAAGCCAGAACGCAAAGGATGTGGGAAAAAGAATATAGTCTGTGACACGACACCTTTTTACCGCCAAATATTTAAAACGTAAAAAATAATTTATAATGTGTAAAATTACTGTTGGATGGTTAAATTTGAGGGAATTGGGTTCTGTAGGTGATGAGGGGCTATTTAAAAACACAACTGCTTCATTATAATTATATTGCAGATAGCTTTAACACTTTTACACCATTATACAATTTTTATCTTTATATTTTTTATAAAACTATTACATGTTTTTCATGCCGTGTCTAGATGAGAAGTAACTGACATTTTCTTACGAGAATACAATGATCTGTTTTTTTAAAACATTTAAAATAATTCCAATATTCGAAATCTAATCAAGTGTCAAGTGTTGCCTGCCATTACATTTAATATACAAACTCCAACACACCCCCTCAACACTTGCACACATTTTTCTCCGTCTATAATTTAATACCAAAAAGAATAACGCTAACCTGACCTTCATAAATTAATTACTTTCCATACATACCTTAAAACCTCACAACCACTTACATTCCGTTACTTCCACTTAATCCCTCAATTCAACCAACAACTATTCATTCAACCTTTCAAACTTAATACCATCTTTAATGTCGCTACCTTTAATCCTTTCTTACTTCTCCAACTCCAATTCGATCAAAAATGTACTTTCATTCAACCATACAACCATTCAACCTTAACTTCCCTCTTGACTCACTATATAAAACCTTAACTATAATAGTCTAACTCCTTCTCGACTTCCTACATAAACTCTTCAAGTTTATTTAAAACTTTTAACGCCTTCTCAANTGTGTCACCAGCTGGGAGAGGCCGTAGGCCAAGGCGAAATCGTAGGCAGCCCGACCCGGGAGGTCAGTGGTTCTGGACCCCAACCACTCTTGGTGATGAGCGTTAAAGTCTCCAAGAACCACCACCTCCGCAGATGGGTACTGCTCAAGCACGCGGTTAGTCCCCTCTTGCACATGCTCTATCAGAGCTGAACCTGCATCACTGCTGTGGGACCTGTACAGGCACGCGTAGACTCGGGTACAGCCCCCGTGATCTACGCGCAGCCACAAGAGGGACAGGTCCCGTTGTTCGACCGTCGTTCCCGTTGTTACATACATCAATTCAACTTTAATAAATATTAAGATGGAATGTAAATTTTATTTTCAGACACGTTTTTATTAGCTTGGTATGTAGGTGTGTATATTTGTTTGTATGTAACGGAATCATTGAACATTTTTACCGATTTGAAGACGTCCGATCAACTTGAATATTTACAACGTATCAGGGGCCGATGATAATACGATATTTTTAATAATTCGCTCTAGTAATCTGACCTGTATTAAGAGGATAAAAAAATGATGAAATTATAAGTTTGCTGTTCAAGTGTGTGTTCTTTTTATTCTTAAGCTACATTTGTTATTATACATATTAAGCTGAGTCAAAGTAAGGAGTAGGTACCTAAGATACTATCAAAGTTGATTGTTTGATTTGTATGCATTACTTATTACGGAGCAAGTGCACAATTTAAACTTCTTAGTATTCATTCCTTTCGAAATTTCATTAATTTTGCCTTAATTCTTGATTTCTTTTAAATACGTCCATAATGTACTTATTGAAAATTGACAATGAATTAATCGTTAAATTTTAAAGCTCATGTGGATTAACTTTTATATTTGCCTTTGACTTCTGTGTATTAAGCTTATGCTTCTTATGTTGTGACTTATAATCATAATAATACAGTATTTAATAAGAAGAGAGCTTATGATTCAGAGAATAAAGGTTATTAGTGTATGCGCATGGCTCAAGACGTCATTGGGTTGGAGGGCGGAGTTTCGCGCCGCCCTGTGTCGCGGCGGCAGTCCGTTTCAGGCCGGCGTGCGCCCCGCACGGCCCCATGGTGGAGCACGCGGTCGTGGATTGCTCTCAGGCGAGCGCTATGCAAACCCTTCCATTGCAGCCGCATCGCGAAGCTGATGACGATCAGCTCGCTGATGAATACGTACAGAACTTTGAGCTGGACCATCTCGAAGATCACAACCTGGTGAAACGTGAGCCGCTTCGTGGCGGAGCGTACGAATTGATACAAACGCCGCCGGCATGTGCTCGTGCTCTCCGACCCTGGCCTGATGCGGGACCGTATCCACAACCGCATGTAGCTATCGCTGTTGATCCCAGTACACCTCCTGAAACCCCTCCGGCGACGATTGGCCGTAGTCCATGTCGTGCCGCCCTAGTTGACGATGTACTCTGGCTACCACATATGAGAGAGCCTCTTGACATGCGTACAGTGCCGTGTGGAAGTTTTGAAGAATGGGACAGGCGCGAGTGGAGAGAACAAGATCATTACGGACAACAAGTCGCACTGCGCCCAGCTAGTTCTTGTTCGGCAATGTCTCCTCGCAACGGACCGCATCCATCATATCAGCCATCCTCTTGCGGGGACGATTTGATTAGTGACGATCTACTGATGACCTTAAGCGTGCGTGAGCTGAATAAGAGATTGCACGGTTTCCCACGAGAAGATGTAACGCGCCTAAAACAGAAAAGACGCACTCTTAAAAACCGCGGGTACGCGCAGAACTGTCGCAGTAAGAGATTGCAGCAGCGGCAAGAGTTGGAAATGACGAATAGAACGCTGCAAGATGAGCTCCACGTGCTGCAGCTGCAGGTTGCCCGTGTGACGCACGAACGGGACGTGTTGAAGCAGCGGCTAGCGCTGATGGGACGAGAGCATGCTGTGCCACAGCACGCGCCGCCGACGCCGCACTCTTCACCAGAGTTCTTCTCGGAGCTGTGACGGCAGGGCACGGCGCCGCGAGCCGGCGCCTCTGCCGCTGCCTCTTCCGCCTGCGCCTGGCAACGATATTGAGGTGGCGACATACAGCACGACTCCGCGGCCTTTGCCGAGACTACTTTCGTGCTTTTGTTAAGTTTGAAAAATAAATATTCATCAGTTCCAGTTTATAGTTTGATAACGAGGTGGAACAATTTGGCCATTGTTTCCGACCCAAATGGCTCAAGCACCGTGTTTAAAATATGGTTGTGTCGTAAGATATGCATAGCTTTGTTAAAATTACTTAAACTAATTGTATTATTAATAAAGTAAAATTTATGCATTAAGTTTAAATGCTTCGATCAATAATAGTACTAGATTAAGGATCAGGAACAAAAATAAGACGCTCCAGTGGCCACGTTTGCAGACACGAAAACATCTTCATTTCTTAGAAAAAAGTTTAATAATGTTAACGACTTCAGTTTATTATAAACCTTAATCCTTAAACATAAAGTTTAATTACCATTGCAAAATATATGTATTTAGGTCCTTTCGTCAGAAAAAGAATATTATGGAATAAATTTAAAATGTCACTTGAACATAAAATGTCATCAGTACAAAAATATTTATTCTAAAATGATACTTAAAGCCTAATTTATAAGGTTAAAAATATTTGTTTATAATTTCGTGCTTATTGTATTGTGAAACTAGATGTAGTTCTTGGTATTACATTTCAATGCTCAGAACACAGTAAGTATTGAAAGACATGGAGTTGCAGAATATACATATTTGTTTTAGGTTTGTTTTGTATGGTCGCAGCTATTTTTGACCGATTCAAAAAAGTAGTAGATAATATTTTACATTGCCGCTATTACAACAAATAGGTGATAAAAAATAAAATTGAATAAAGTAAAAAAAATATGAAAGGAAACACGAAACATGTTTTCCACGTATTCTTTATACAGAAGTAATTAAAACAATAATGTAGGTTTAATTACCTTTAAACAGATTCAGTTTGTTATAAAGCTGTCTTTTAGAAGTCATTTTTATATGAGCGGTTTCTTTTTTACAAATATAATGTAATCTTATATCAATGAATTTTTCTATAATCAGTTTAATTTAGGCTTATTTTATGGCTGTGTTCGTTTCCCCCAGAAAACAAATCCTTTTCAGCATATACGCTTAAAATATTTACACATACATATAAAGTTTTTTTAATACTTTTTTGCATTGATTTGCCACCACCATTGAACAATTCTAGAATTTTTATAAGAGTTCTATATTTCTTCTCCTCTTTCTTTCGCGACAATATATATCCATTGTGCACAGCGACAAGGGGCTACTAGGAAATCTACAAACAAAAATAACATTATAAAATAACAAAACTACTCTATGCATTCCCTGTCCAAGAATAGGTGATGTTTGTTACAATAGTTGGTGCCTTGTTGCAAACATTGGCCAAACAATTACAATATTCGTAAATTGTGTTTTATTTACAATATAATTGTGTTTATTATTTTATGAAAAACACTTAATAATATAAATTTACCAAAAAAAGATATTCCTTCCAAAACCTTGGTGTTACGGTGGTTTTTTACTCAGTTTTTGAACGCGCATTGCAGCGTTTTGACGTCTTAGTGTTGGCTATGATTGGACCATACTAATTTGAAATAAGACCACAAATTTATTTGTGGTCTTATTTTTCGGGCCGTTTTTGAAGCGCTAATCGCGAATCTAGTAGTATTATTGATCGAAGTTTAAATGACTCAAAATCAATAGCCAGATAATTGTACATAGGACATAAATTTAACGAATTTTACTCATAGGAGAATTTGTGTTTTCCTAATAAAACAATTAAAACAAGATTTTTATTTTATTTCCAATACACTTTTTAAACTTTTTAAATAAATATTATAATAAGTCTATTCAGAAATACCATCGGTGATTTCTGTATTCAGTTTTACATGAAAATATTAAATACAAAAGTCAGAATATGATTTTTCTTGTCTTTATTCTTTTTCATACACAGAGAGTGATTGAAACATGACCTAAGTGGACAGTTTATAACTTTTTATTTTGATGAATACTAATATTTTGATGAATAGTAGGCGTAAACTGTATATACTCTCTGTATGTACTCTCTGGCCACTGACTGACTTTACTTTACTGATACATATTTGGGTAATTTGAAAACCTTAGTTTTAAGTTAGCGACTGCGCGCAAGTTTACAAGTTTGTTGAAATTCGCTTGGGTGTTACCCGAGCTATTCATCTGTTCTATAAAAAAATAAAGAAAGGAAACAATGTTATGAAATAGTGTCTAGTCTACTATATGACTCCTATACTAAAGAGAGAAATTTATCCCAATTTAAGTGGGAAAGTAAGGACTACATTACTGTTTCTCTTTGCAAAATTATTTAAAAATATTTATGATTATTTTCCTAAATATATTTTTTTCTCTCTTCACAAATAGATTAAATATTTTTTTGTTTTGTTTGTCTATTTAGTCTCTGCTTTTCGATATCTTTTGAGTAGAAATGTCATTATTACATTATGTAGTGTTCTTCTTGCTTAGTTAATGTTTGTATTAAAATAAACAGTGATTGTAATTACTGATTTAAAATGATTGGCGTCTTATTATTGTTTTACTCATTATTTAATTCACCTTTTCAAATTATTAAATTCCTCAGTTAGTTTCTTACGCATTTTTAACGCTATTTAAAGAAAATTTAAATAAAACATTTATTTGTTTTCGATTTTGATAAAAAACGCGTTGATAAAAATTTCAATTTTGTTTAGAATGGACGAAACTATTCATTAGAAATATCAGTTTAATTAACAGCATATCAATTTTATTTTAATTTTGACATTTAGTAGAATGAATTACTATATTATGTTTCACTGAATAAGGTCAATATACACCAGTAAAACTCTTTGAACTTTCTTTAATTACAATAAGTAGAGTACCTAAGTATATCTTCTTGTATTTTAAATAAGTGTCTGTAAGTTATATAGAAATGTAAATACGATAATTTAAGATTATTAATTAAATCAAGAATTAAATCACGTCCAATTAACTACAACATAATTTGTGTGACGTTAGTTATCTTTGAAATATAAACAGGAAGCGTACATAGTTGCATTCAACAAAGTACCTAATGGCTAGCAATTATTTATTTTCATTAAAATTATAAATTCTACTTGACATTTAAGTGTTGTGTCTAACGTTAAATAAATTGTTAAAATTATAATTGGACAAAAATGCAACATATAACTTAAAAAGCCGCAAATGTACGGTAGGTTATGGGTACGGTACGGGTATTCACGGTAGGCAGCAACTTGGCTCTGCCTTGGCATTGCTGAAGTCCGTGGGCGACGGTAACCACTCACTATCAGGTGGGCCGTATGCTCGTCTGCATACAAGTGCAATACAAAAAAATTTGTCATGTACCTAAGTCATCAAAAAAGATAAAATCAATTTTAAAAATTGATTTATTTAGCAGTATGTAGGTACCTTAAGATTTAGATACCATTTAGAATCATATTCCTAGTAGTTTCCTTACTCATATTTATGTATACTTAATTTTGTTTGCCAGACATGGTTTTATATTTAAATCTTTGAAAGATCCAGCAGAAGGGAATAGTATTGTTTTTTTTTTTCAAATTACCGGCTCCAAATTTATATTTTGTCCTGTGGTATGAATGTCTGAAACATATACAAGATAATAAATTCTGCTGAACGTTTTACAGATAACGAATATGAAGGAGCCTTTATAAAAGTACTGATTGGCAATCAAATACAAGCCCTATGGTATATAGTTAGATTACTTTTTTATTTTGTACGAGCCATAATTGCGTACATCCAAAATTCATCATTATATCCCACAATTATTTATATTTGTCAATCAATTAATATGAAGTAATAACAGTAAATCATGTTCAAAACGAGTTAGCTACTACCACAGAAAAAAAAATATTTTCCAAAAAAATAATTTATTTTTTATTTTTATTATCTATAAATTTGAATATAACTAAGCAATAATATTTAATAGATTTTATAAAATGAAGCTATTTATTTGTGTGTTATTGATTAGTTCCAATATTTTATACTTTAAAAGTAACTTCCACTTATTTAATGTTACTATTTTCCCAAAATTTTATTTTTATTTTTATTACATACGTGGGTGGACGAGCTCGGGGCCTACCTGGTGTTAAGTGGTTACCGGAGTCCATAGACATCTACAACGTAAATACCGCCACCTACCTTGAGATATTATGAGCTCTAATGTATCAGTATAGTACAACGGCTGCCCCACCCTTCAAACGAAACGCATTACTGCTTCACGGCAGAAATAGGCAGGGTGGTGGTACCTACTCGTGCGGGCTCACAAGTAATTACGCAAATAATAATTTTGCGACTTTGTTTTTTATTACACGCTCTTATTCCTTCACCGTGAAAGTCAATCGTGAACATTTGTTAAGTACCTACGGATTCGAACACCGGTGCTTTGCTAGATACGAATGCAACGGACGTCTTATCCTTTAGGCCAGAACGACTCCTAAGCGTCACGATGGCGCAACCTCAAGTTCTGATTAAATATGATACAACTAGTTGAAAATTTCGCAAAAAGATAAATGTGGCCACCTTTCAACGTGACGAAGTCGCTTAAAATTTGAAATTTTACTTTCGGACATTATTTAAATCTGACAACCATCGGTATTGTCAATGTTAAGAGTAGATCGACATAGTTGTTTAGTTAATTATGTTCACCAGGATTGCCATTTTGTGTGTGAAGTATTTACCAGATTCGCAGGACATTGGAGCAGAGTTCATATGCTTATTGCATTTATTTATCTTCTCAAAGTTTTCTAAGCCTTCTGACCTCCCTCAGAAACGAATCTTTAATAGTAGGCAGACAGGTAGGTACCCCTGGTATCCCTGAGGTGTATGAGCCTTAAAGTAAGATAATATGTCCGGTACTCAATAAAAAATTGTTGATTTGTTCGTGTTTGAAGAAAGGTACA